GAGAGCTTATTCAAAGATTCAAATATACAAATGTATATATATATATATATATATATATATATATATATATATATATATATATATATATATATTCACCCTAAATTCACACTTACATAGATTCATATATAAATATGTATACGTGATGAAATTTATCATTTAAGTAAACATATATCATATAGCCGGTGTTTAATTCATCAACGAATGACATCATACTCAGTGTGTGTTTGTATGTGTGTTTGTGTGTGTGTGCTGAAATGTTTATTTATTAAATTATAATACTAAATTATTTATATTCTAGGCAATATTTCTTAAATTGAGTTAAAAAGTACCAAAGGTTAACTAACCACTTTAATTGAGAGCTCACGATGTTGTGATTAATATTTAGTCACATTTCACATACGTACACACACGCACACACACACACACACACGCACACACACACACACACACACACACATTCACACACACACGCATCTATTTACATATAAATATTATTAAAAATCCTAAAAAATGACAAAAATTTATTCAAGATTTAAAAAGTTAAAGTAATTAAAAAAAAATTTGAGACAAATTTTTATGACACTGAATAAAATGCAGACGTTTTAGTTATTTTAATTATTCAGAAGTTCTTCGTAAAAACCAAAAATTATATGAAAGAATCACATTTCTTTAGAATCTTTAGAATCTTTTTCTTTCTTTTTTCTCTCTTTCTCTCTCTCTCTCCCTCTTTCCCTCTCTCTCACTCATACAATCACACTTCAAACAAACAAACAAACAATGAAGAAATTAAGCAATCTATCAGGGAGACATGTTACAAAAACATCATATCATACACAAACAATACAAACATCCTAATGAAATGCAAACATACAACGAACAATGATACAAAGTAAACATACAACTGTAAAAACATGAACAAACATTTTTGCAAAAAAAAACGCAATAAATACGCATAAAAATACAACAAAAATACAAAAAAAGAATACAAATCAACAAAAAACTCAAAAAAAATATCAAAAAACACAAAAATTACCCAAAAAATACACAAAAAGTATATGAACAGTACCCTTTAAGTATGAAAAAATTCTGAAATAATACAAAAATCATCCATACATTTTTGTATCAACATTTAAAATGTAATAAATAAAATTATAGAATTAAACCATTTACAAAAACACCTACTGCTAGAAAATGTATGAAATAAACACTAGACTATTATTCAAAATTATACAAAATGGTATAATACAATAAAGAATACAAAAGTATACAAAACAAGAAATACAAAACATGAAAGCAAAAAACAAGATACCCAAAAAGGATGTACAGAAAAGAGATAAAAACACAGATACAAGATATACAATAAACAAAATTGAATATACAACATAGAATAAAACATACGCTGCTGGGAAATACAATAAATACAAACAAACAAACAATCACGAGAAATACATAGAAACATGGTATACAAACGCGAGATATATATACAAATGATATACAAAACAGATGCCCGAAAACCGAGCATAAAAACAAAGCACTACATACAAAACATAATATACAAAAGATATAGAAAACAATCAAAATACACGGCAAACAGATGTTTTCTCAGCAACCAACCATCCAACAAACATCATTGTCAGTTATACAGCTGCTCATAATGACGAATTCAATCAAAGCATAAACCAAAAATATCTCGTTAGTTACAAAGAGTATTACTATTATTATTATTACGTCTGTATATATTTATATAGATATATATTCATATATGTGTGTGTGTTTGTTTGCTTGTGTGTGTGTGTTTGTGTGTGTGTTTGTGTGTGTGTGTGTACGTGTGTGTGATACAAAACATGTTGCAACAAAAAAAAAAACTGCTAGATAATTTTTAAAGAGCGATAAAAATTAATTAAAGTAATTTGTAATAACGTTATATTTATTGGCCCTACTAATGTCATATACAAATAAACCATTCGCTTTCCATTTAGATATCTTATTATATTATAACTGACAAGTTAGTAAACTTGATTTTATTGAATCTATAAAATGTTAATTTTTCAATCTTTCGCATTTTTGAAAAACATCAAAACAGTAACTTGTCTGTCGCGAAACAAATTTGATCATCTCTCTCTCTCTCTCTCTTTCTCTCTCTCTCGCACACACACTCACAAACACAAATGCACACATACATACAGGCAAATTTTATCTGCCTCTGGATGGTATTATGAAAATAACATTACAAAATATCACCACTATAACACCACTAATAAGAAGCTGGAGTGTCTTTAACCAGTATTTCGTTCGTTCGTTAGCTCATATCCTGGTATTATTCTGTATTAGTAATTCCCTATCGTATTCTCCACATTATAAACTTTCCCGGAAATGAAGCGGAAGTGACGTCACATGATGATTTATCCCAATTGGTCCAGGGATATCATAGCAGTTTACGTTAGGACGATTGGCGTGAGTTATAAATAGAAAGTTATAAATAGAATATAGTCAAGGCCGGATTTTCAGATAGGCTAACAGGGCACTGTCCCAAAGCCTTTCCAAATAAAACATGAACCTTCATTTTTCCAGTATTCCCAGGGTCTAACGGTATAGAGGGTTTAAAATCCCTCTCCGATTGTATGACGCAGACTGATGTGTCAAGGTTCAAGTCGAGTGCTTTATTTCAAGTAGGTATGAATGTATGTATGTATGTATGTATGTATGTATGTATGTATGTATGTATGTATGTATGAATGTATGAACGAATGTATGTATGTATATATGTATGTATGTATGTGTATGTATGTGTGTGTTAGTTTGTGTGTGTGAGTCTGTGCGTGGTTGTGTATGTATTGTATGGGTGTGTGTATGTGTGTGTGTGCATGTAGCTATGTATGTATGCGTGTGTATGTTTGTGTGTTTGTGTGGTTATACACACCTGTTTATTGTTATGTACATAAAACTTGCATATACAATGTACAACAATTTTTTTTCTAGTTTTATTTAGAATTTTTAACCACAGAAAGTACTTGGATTTGTTTTCGGAAAATCTTTTTATTAACCAAAAAGATGTTTCAATTAAAATTTACTATCTCAATCTTTACCATAATTCGCAATTGGAGAAAAAAAAAAAATTCAAATAATACACGAGTAAAAAAAAACTGCATATAACTGACTGTACATAAAAACTCTTTCAACAGACACACAAACACACACCACACAAACGCACACACACCACCACACACACATACACACACACAAACACACATACACACACAAACATACACATACACACGCATACTTATATATATATATATATATATATATATATATATATATATATATATATATATATATATGTATATATATAATACGAAATCCCTGCATTTAAAATAATATAATGTTATTATGTTATTATCTGATAGCAACTTTGTTTGATGTGTTCAGAGACGACGTCATTTTAAGGCGAGCTTATTTGTTGTTATTATTATTATTGTTGTTGTTGTTGTTATTGTTGTTGTCGTTGTTTCTTATTATTAATCTTTTGTTTTGTTTTAAATTTTGTTTTAAATTTTGTTAAAGCATGCAATGGCTAAAGGTCAATCGTTATATTTTGTATGTGCAACGTGTGCGTGTATGTGCGCGCGCGCGTGTGTTTGTGTGAGTATGTGTGTGTGTGTGACTTTATAAATCATTTATTTATTTGTTATTTTATTCATTCCTTTTATTCATATCACTCATTTATTAAACCATTCGTTCAATCAGTAAGTTATTCATTGATTGATTGATTGATTCATTCGTTCATCCATTGATTGGTTGATTGATTAATTAATTAATTAATTAATTCATCTACCCATCCATCCTTCTATCCATCCATCCTTCTATCCATCCATCCTTCTATCCATCCATCCTTCCATCCATCCATCCTTCTATCCATCCATCCATCCATCCTTCCATCCATCCATCCTTCTATCCATCCATCCATCCTTCCATCCATCCTTCCATCCATCCTTCCATTCATTCATCCATTCATTCATATATGTTTTCACTTAGTTTTCTATTTTCTTGTCCAAATTAATGTACAATTTGTTAAAAAATATAAACGAAAATTAATAAAAATACTAAGTAACAATATCCATTTCAAAACTTTATACTACGTTTTAATAATAAATAACATTTAATTTATTTAATAAAATTCTCTCTTCAGTATTGTAACGAGAAAATAATAATTAAAATAAAATCTAAATTGAAGTATTTTATTTTATTTTATAATCTAAAAGTAGCAATTTATTTTTGAAAAATATATAACTCGGACATGAAAATTTTTAAATATAATTAGAAAAAAAATGATCGAAATTGGTTTTAATTGGTTTATTTAGTGTTTAATGAAGCTATAAATGTTAAAATTGTTTTAAAAGAAATTTTTTCAACCTATCTTAGGCAAATCACTCGCAAATTAAATTTGACTTCCGCATGGTGTGTGATCAGTTTTTTGGCCGTTTAAATATTCATTATACAATAACTACCAAACTTGTACACATACATTTATATAGCACATATGTTATATATATTTTTAAAAATTATTTATACATACATATATTGTCAAATAATAATTAACTATATAAATTATATATATATAAATATTTTTTAAAAGTTTATATTTTGTAAACGTGTATTTTTAAATATTAAACAATCCCCCAGAAGACATATTTTTAAGACTTAAGACACTCTCACCACACACACACACACACACACACACACACACACACACACACACACACACACACACACACACACAACACACACACAATGACGAGTTTTGCCTTGACATAATACAACGGTAAAATTGTTCTTAAAATGTTTACACTTAATACTTACCGAAATATTCCGATCAACCACTATCGCTCTAGGAGTTCTATACTCTATAGGAGCAAAATTGAAATAAAATTACTGAGTTAACTTTGTTCAAGTTCATCATTTAAACATAAAAAGTTTCACTGCAATTGGCCGAGCCGAATTTAAAATGTACACGTCATTCTTCTCCCACCAATCACAGTGTCTCCTCTTACGACCAGCTGACCTCCGTGACTCATCCAGGCTTCGATTGACCTTGTGACAGTTTCCGGCGGAAGGGTCAGGGCCACTCTGAAGCTCGGTAGCTTCGATGACGAGAAAGACGACGACGACGATGAAAATGATGATGAATTTGTTGGCGATGATGGCGGTGATGGAACTTTGGGAATGGGAAGTTGCCCTGATTGTTGGATGTGACCTGCCGAGAGCACCAGAATGTTGTCAATAGTTTTGACTTGAACATTATCTCTGACTTGCTCAGGTACAAAAAGCGTTATGACAACTTTGCAGTTTACTAAGTCCTCGTTTATAATTGGGAGGTACTTCATTTGGATACCTTCAAAACTTAAAAACTCATTCTCGTGATGTCTCTCCCTGATGTACAAGGCATTGTTCTCAACACTGCAGCAAAGGCATTCAATAGATGTCATCTCACAAATTCTTAGCAGGTGCAGCTGGTTAGTTGTTGTTGCAGCTGCAGACGCTGAGCTGTTGATTTGTGTTGAGACGCTGTTGTTGCTGGTCGAACTGTTCGGAAGGATGTTGGCGCCATTTTCATTTTCACCGAGTTTACACGAGTTATTAGAAACGTGCTTCTTCAACGGGTTTTTCTTTTCATTTTGTTTCAACTTCCCGTCAACTAAACACGCAGCATGTTCAGAATTGGACAACGGACTCGTGGCGAGCATGGTGTCTACATCTTCAAATCCTGAACTTGTGTTGCCGCTGGTGAAACTGCTGCTGCTTTTGTTACTTTCGTTACTTGCGTTGCTATCGCTGCTGCTTGTGCTATTGCTGCTGTGACTGCTTATGCCGGTGTGGACTGATTTGTCATTTGTTGCTTTTATTTGGTTTTTCGTATCATCAAATGGTGTTTTTTCAAGTTTTTTGAGGTTTTTATTATTTCTGTTTAAACTTTCAGATAGATCAATAATGCCGCTGTCAGAATCATCGAGCGCGTTCTCTCCAGCATCCATGTTTTCATCTTCATTGCTCGCACTAGTTTCGTCGCTTACTTCATCAAAGTTGTTAGCGCAAACTGTTTCGAATATAGTTAGGAATCCATTCTCCTCATCCACACTGACTCCAATCATGTACGGGTTGGTCTCATTCAATTCTAACTTGAAACGCAGCAGATTATTTTCTAGACTACTCTTCTTAGAAATTTCACACAATTTCTTCCCATCGAAGATAGTCTGCATGGAGGAATCTAGCGAAAGACGATTGTGGGTAGTATCGGACATAATTGATACCTGGTTTTGTACATCAACTTTTTCTTCTTGCTGAAGCGGGCAAGTGGTCTGTCTGAAATTTTTCAGACGACTTTCTAAAGAAATTCTTCGTTTTCTTTCTTTTTCGTTATCAGTTTTCTTGGCAAATCCATCCAAATCGCTTTCTTCATCTACCTGGTAGTCATTATCATTTTCAATTTCAAATTTACCCATTCGGGAAATTTTAGGAGAACTGTTGTTGCTGCGACAGATCAAGGCTAAGGTTCTGTTTAAACTGACTTCTGTTTCCTCGTGTCTCACCTTGATCTTCGTCATTTGATTGTCTGAAAATCCCAAACTAGTTATATCACTTTCTATAGCAAAAATGTTTGTTTCGTAAGGATCGCAGGAATCTGGGGTGTCGGGAACTATGAGCACACTTGAAAACGTCGTCGTTTTTATCGGCTTTAAAGGATTTGTTTGGATATCACTGCTAACAGACTGAGTCGTCGGGATGAAAAATTTACTCGTTTTGACGATATTTTCATCAACTGCTGAGTCTTCTGAACCGTTTTGCTGAATGTGTGAATTACTGAAGCTGGTCTCGGTAGGAGTTGAATTGTCAAAAGCTCTTGCGGTGTTGTTGGTTGCATGTAAATTTCTGCTGCTCGAATTTGTCTCAATTGCGTCGCCACATTTTGTGATGTTATTCGCGCAACCAGCAACGCTGCAATTAAAAAGTTTTTGAGTTTCATCGTCGAACTGAACTGAACTCATAGAGATACGTCTAAACTCCGGAGTATCGTGACTCGCCAGCTGAGAACCGTCAAGAAAAACATCTCCCGAGTTGACGCTTGTCGACGAAGCATGTTTGAACGAGGATGGTCTGCTATTCATAAAAACTAGAGAACTGTTCGGACTGTTTGGCCTGCTGTTTATAAAATTTAAACTTTCTCTGCTGCTGCTGCTGCAAATAATTTGCAGATCACGTGATAGTTGTTGAAATGTGTTTCTCCAACTAGAGACACTGTGGCCAGTTATTTGTTGCGAGAATCTCCTACTGTTTGTCGTTGGAGACGGAAATTCTGCGCATGCTGTTGTGAGAGTTGGTGCTGATCTGATAGGTGACGATTGTTGGTGCGGTAAGTAGTTGTTTGATGTTTGCCTCTGTTGAGCCATGTCGGTTTCTTGCTGCGGTTGCTGAAACTGTTGCTGGAAATTTTGTTGAAAAAGTTGTTGTTGGTGAGGTAGATGTTGTTTGTTGTAGAGATAAGCTTGATAGTGATGTTGCTTAATATGCTGATTGTGAATTTGTTGACAATGTTTTTGTAGCTGTTGTTGTTTGAGCTGTTGCATTACAATTGCATGTCTCTGCTGTTGCAACAATTTTTGTTGCAATACAAATTGTTGTTGTTGCTGCTGTTGCTGAAGATGTTGTTCAAGCTGTTGGTGGTGATCGCAATGTTGCCGCCTCGGTTGCGCAACATGTTGCTTCGTTAGGACAACTGGTTCAACGTCGAAAAAATCGTCGTCGTCGTTAATGAGAAAAAGTTCATCGTCTTCGTTTTCGTCCCCGAGTAAAGTTTTGGAGTCTTTTGAAGTTTGGTAGACGTGCCTGCGTTTTGCGGCTGCCATCCTGTCACTCCTGAATTTGGGTTTCAGTCATTTAGGTTAATGAGGTCGATGAGGAGAAATGCGATAATTCGAGTGATGGTGATGAAGATGGTGATGGAGATGATGAGAAATGCGATGATTCGAGTGATGGAGATGATGATGATGATGATGACGTTGGTGATGATGATTATGATGATGGAGATATTAATATATTATTTGTGTTAATGCTCAAACAATGTGGATTGCGATAGGAACATTAACGCCAAACATTGAAAACATGATAACCCTTAAAACAAGTGTCAAACATTAATGGTTTGCTGATTTGTGGTTAAACGAGTAAATTCAGAATATTTTTATGCTAATGTGGTATCTTATTATAGCGTAAAATTAACCATGCTGAAACAAAAATTGGATAACGCCATTGAAGATGGTAGTTAAAAGCTCAACTTAGAAATGTAACGCTATATTAATAAAGAACAAATTTATGATGAAATCAAACTAATTATTCTATTAATTTTAATATAATGAGATTTTAATTAAATATTTTGTTGAAAAATCATCAAAGTCATTTCTCACATTATTAAATTTTTATAAAAAAAAATTTCGAAAAATTTTTCTTGAACAATGAATTCCATTGACTTTAAAAGTACCATAAGCTATTAAGCCTATTATTATGTATAATGATTGTATAGACACATTGATGACAAAACTTCTGACAATGTACCTTTGTATTTTTGAAATATACAATGTTGTGTTTGTATTTTTGTATGCAAGCGATGTGGTATATATCTTTCGTATATTGTACACATACAATATTGTATCAATGTTTTGCATTTGTTATAAATACAATGCGTGTATGCATGTTTGTATGTATGTGCGTAGGTATGGATGTTTGTTTGTTTGTATGTATGTATGTATGTAGGTATGGATGTATGTATGTATGTATGTATGTATGTATGTATGTATGTATGCATGCATGCATGCATGCATGTATGTATGTATGTATGTATGTATGTATGTATGTATGTATGTATGTATGTATGTATGTATGTATGTATGTATGTATGTATGTATGTATGTATGTATGTATGTATGTATGTATGTATGTATGTATGTATGTATGTATGTATGTATGTATGTATGTATGTATGTATGCATGTACTTATGTATGTATGTGTGTGTGTATGTATGTATGTGTGTATATATAAGAATTGGCTCTTATGTTTGCTTGTTTGTCAGCGTTTGACATTCACGGTGTAGTTTGTTTAAATGCAAATAGGTTCTAAAGTATCGGCTCCATGGCGCCTAATGTAATTCTCCTGTTTAGATATTTAGACATTTTTTTCCTTCCAAAAAATCTGCATTATCACTAACTAGATTGTGTTCATTCAACTGATTACGTCGCGCATAGGAAATTAATTGATTACATAATTAAATAATATTCCCATAGCAATTAAAATGATTTTTTCTTGATTTAATTCAGTAAATTATACTAGGAATATAAAAGAAATTTATTTGTTTAAAATTAATTAAAAATGGAAGCCATACGACACGGAAGTTTAGAAAACTCTTCGAAAGAAAAATTACATAAAAAATAAAAAGTAATATTAAAAAAAATGGTTATATATAAAAATAGATCACACATGCAACAACAAAACCACACACAAACAACACACCAAGATTGATAACAGCAAACAAACAAAAAAAAAATGAAAAAAAACACAGAGGCAAAAATTATTGATTTTACTGTCAGACACATACATATGCATCTACCTACATGCAAACATACATACATCACACGCACACACACACACGCACTCACACACCACACACGCACTTACATACACACATACAAACATACATATACACAAGCGCACATACATACACACACACGCGCGCATACAAACAAACAAATATACAAACAAACAAACATACATACATACACTCATACATACATACACACATACATACATACATTCAAGTTCAATGCGTTCACGCGATGCTTTTTATAGCTGTCGTTCTTGCTGTTGAGCTTTTTATTTCTCATTTTTTTTATTTTTTTCTTCTTATTAATATTATTGTTATTATTATTTCTATTGTTTTTTTTTGATTAAATTGTTAACACTGCTGACGGTCTGTTGTTAGTCGCTAAAGTGGCGGTATAGCTTAACGTTTAAAGCGCCTGGCTTCACTATTGCATTGACCGGTATCGAATGCAAGGAGATCCCCGGCCTATTGTGTGTTAAGCGTGTGAAGTTTGTTTTTGTTTGTTTGTTTGTGTGTGTGTGTTTGTTTGTGTGTATGTGTGCTTGTTTGTTTGTTTGTGTGTGTGTGTTAATATTTGAGAACTAAAAAAAATTATAAAAAATAGAATTAGTAACAGCATCAGCACATACTGCTGCTAACCGTAATTAAGAATTTATTTTTATTTCAGCTAATGGCAAATATTGACAAAACACTTGAAACGCTTTACATACATGAAACATTATCGTGGCTGAAAATGTTGTGTTTAAACAGATCGTATTGGTAATCAAGCTAACTTAGCTGTCTGCTTTTCAGTACACATCGACACATAACAATATTATTTACATTGAATATTCACGAGTGGATTTTTATTTCATTCGAAGGATAAACAAACTAAGGTAGGTTGTTGAACTTTTAGAAATGTTTAAAAAAATGAAAACAGAGATGTGGGAAGAAACATTAAAATTAGATTGGAGAGGAAATGCGTGTGAGAAAAAATGTGTGTGAGAAAGAGAAACAAAGAGAAAGAGAGAAAGAGAGTGAGAAAGAGGAAAAAAGCAAGAGAGAGAAAAATAAATGTAACAAATGAGAGAGAAAGAGAGAGAGAGATAAAAATGGAGAGAGAGAAATAAAAAAATGTAAAAAATGAAGAGTGAGAGAAAAAAAAACAGGAAAAAAATCAGAGAGAAAGAGAGAAAAAAAAATTTAAAAAGAAAAGACGGAGAGAGAGAAAAACAGGAGAGAAAGCGAGAGGAAAACAAGAGAGAAAGAAAGAAAAAGAAAGAAATAAGAAGAGAGGGAAAGAGAGTAAGATAGTTGAAGACCGTTTTGAAAATATGAAGCATGCCAATAGAAATTTTTATACCATTTCCTTCATTAAATATTAAAAAGTATGTTAAATAAATAAATAAATTTGTAATAAATATAAATAGACTCATTTAAAAAAAACTCCTTCATTTGCAATATATTTTTAAATAGACACACGCACACGAAGTACGTATATACACATACATAGATATGTGTGTTTGCGTGTGTGTTTGCGTGTGTGTGTGTGTGTGTGGGGATTGTGTGTGCGTAAATCACAATGTTTTTATCTTAACAAGAACTTTTAGAATGTTATTTGTATGAAAGAAATCGAAAGTAAAGAGGAAGAGAACTTAAGAACTTAAGTAACCTAATACAATTAAAAACATGTTATTGTGTGTGTCTGTGTGCGTGTGTATCTGTGTGCGTGTGGTTCTATTTACTTATTTTCATTTCATGTTTGTGGAATTTTTTCGGTGAAGATAAAAAAATGCCAAAAATTTGATTCGGGAATAAGCAGATATATAGATCACTAGATCTACATAGAAGATATCAGAGAAACCGAGTGATTGGGCTATTTAACCAAAAAAACAAAGAAAGTATATCGGAGGTACACAGCTGAACATTTTAAACACGCACGCACGCACACACACGCGCACACAGACAGACACACAAACACAGACAGACAGACAAACACAGACAGACACACAAACACAGACAGAAACACAGACACACACACACAAACATACGCTACAGACACATTCCTCACCTATCTTTAAACATTAGCGATCCTAAATTTTTCAAATTAAAACAAGCAGGATGGGGTGACGTATTCAGTTACCTTATTTAGATTGCTAATTTAATTATAATGAACCAGAAATATAAACTGCCAATAAAACTCAGTCGTAACTAATTTTAAAGTCTAACCGAACAATTTTGGATAATTAAATTAAAATATGTATACATATTGGAGGCATATAGCTAAACATTTCAAACACACACACCACACACGCACACACACACAATATACACACACACACACAACATCTTCAAAATACTGAAATGTGTGTGTTTGTGTATGTGTCATATTCTGTGGAAAAATTTTCAACTTAGTTTGATTACGTAGGACTTTTTGTAGGTTGAAAGGGGCCCCACCAAAAATTTTGGGGAGCCCTGGGGTGGTGCAAAAATGTTTTTACGTTGGTGTCCTAACTTTTTTTCTGCTTAATTCATTTTTTTCCTATTTTCATAATTTATAAAGGTTTTTTTTTTACAAAAACTAACTAAATCTCAAATCAATCAAATTGGTTTATTGAAGCAGTTGACTCTAGTCCTTCATTTTGGCGTTTAACATTACAGTATTGTTATTTAAAAAATTTTGGAAGGATGGCAATAGATTCCTCCAGTTGTTGTTGGTATGTATGTGTACATATGTGTGTTGTGCATGATAGAAATAGAGACAGAGAGGACAGAGAGAGAAAGAGAGAAAAAGAGAGAGAGAGAGAGAGAGAGGGAGAGAGAGAGAGAAAGGGGGAGGAATGGAAAAGAAGTTTCAGTTTGTTGATGGTTTGTTTGGTTTAACTATTTTATCAACATTATGTTAATTCTTTTTTTTAATTAAGCATTCAATCTATTCAAACAAACAATTAAGTCAAAAAAATAGTTTATAGTTAGTAATTAGTAAACTGAACAATACTAGCAACACAAACACGAAAAGTAAGCATCTCAACTAATTAAACGAAACGTCGAAACAATACTAACGAAAGTTTATGACACAACTGCAAAACAAGCACTTTGGAAAAAAAATTTCCGATTTTTCATTTATCATGTCCATCTGCATTCTCTTTCCCTCTCTTCCACTTTCACAATCTCTCTCCACTCTTTTTTTCTCATTTTCTTTCCTTTTTTCCTCGACTTAGCTTTGTATTTAAATCAGGCCACGAATACAGAAACCTACCTACCTACCTACCCAATTATGCAGCTAAGTAAAAACATCACAAATGTACCGTATCACTTGTACGTGTACTTATATATATATATATTTTTTTCTACTTTTCTAATTTTCATTTTTCTGCTAGAGAAAGAGAGAGGCAGAGAAAGAAAGAGAAAGGAAGAGAGAAATAGAGAGATATGTATATCTCAAATGTGTAGTCGTATGATATATAGGTAATATAAATATGCATATACATAGATGTGTATATTTCTACTTAAAATACATTCATTTACTACATTTACACACACATACACTCACACACACACACACGCACACACACACAAACATACATCCAACATAACATAACAACACAGAGAATAACATGTTCTCATTTGAACCCACCGGTAGAGATATTTATTTTGTTCACTCCTATCAAGTCATATATATATATATATATATATATATATATATATATATATATATATATATATATATATATATTATAATTTATATGTGAAAAAACATTTAAATCGTTTGTTATGTATAAGTATGTATGTATTTTTACAATATTCTATAAATTCTATTGAATGTTTGGCGTTTAGTACGTTAGTAATTCGTTTTTTCGATTTTTCTCACTAAAGAAAGAGAACAAAACGTATGTATGTATGTAAATGTATGTTAATGTTTGTATCATTATGAATCAGATCTATATTAGATATATCATAATAAGTTAGAAAAAATGTATACATGTGTGTCATTTTTTAGATTATTACATTTCCCTCTTGTGGATTCACAGCGACTTTGACGAAGGAAGGCCCAAAATTTGAAAATGTTTAAATTTTCACGAGAGGGTAACTAAAATTTTTACGGAGGGAGGACGAAAATATGTGGTAGCATGGCCGCTGGCGATGTATTTCTTCGCTTATCATGTCAAATTTTTGGTCAATTTTACACACAAAACGAGTATTCGTCATCGGTTTCAACGACAGACACACAGTACATGTATATACAGGCAAATAAGCATCCACATTGCATGTGCGTGCAAGGGAGAAATATGTTTGTAATGGACTGGCGGTACCAGCCAGGCTAACGGTTAGCTATTGTGCAGCTCTGTATATGTATATATGTGTGTTTCTGTTTGTATGCGTGTGTATGTGTGTTTGTATGTGTGTGTGTGTGTTTTTATAGGTACTTTTGTTATAATAACAAAAAGGAACCTTCTATTTAAAATTTTATATTTTCGTGATGGGTAATTGAATGTAAAATTGTAAATAGATTCGTTTTGCAACTTACGGCAGATAAATGAAAATCTAACTGATCATTCATTGTCCATGAAAAAATCATATTTTATTATGATCTTACGGAATTTATATTCATGGATTAAGAGTAAGGATAGTTAAGAGTGATTAAGATCGATTAAGAATGATTATTTAAAAAGGATAAACATTAAAAAGAATATGTGTTTGTTAGTTTAAGATCTGCAAACCTTTTTCTAAGGACGGTTGCTGTTGCAAGCTTTTCCAGAAATTTCTATCCCAACTCCAAGACAAAAAATAATTTGTTTTTTTTTTGCTTTGTATGAATGTATATTTTTTTCTATTTTATTAATAAAACACGTTTGTATGTTTGAAAAAATGAAAAACTAATTAATAGTAATGTAAAAACAACTCGAAAATGTTCTACTCTACAAGTTAAATTATTTTTTTTCGTAAATTTTTCTTAAAAATCAGAAAAAAATCTACCAGTACTACGAGTGAGCTTGTTGAACTGAATGCATTTAAATATATATTTACCTGAAGTTTTATTTAATTAAGCATTCTCCAAAAACAAAAATTTTTTTACAATTCAACAAAGTTACAACAACCGATGATTGAGAGCCATTATTTATTTCACAGTGGTTAACACGAAAATTTAGGATGAAAATAAAACAAAATCAACTGTTGTAACATTCAGTGGCACGTTGTATGTACGTTTTTATGTTTGCCTGTGTGTGATCGAATGTTTTGAGAATTATATATATAGATTATATAGATACACACACGCACAAACACACACACAAACACACACACACATGTCGTACATACAAGCATGCATACAAAATCATCCACAATATATTGGCCGCATTCTAACAGTTCAAATTAACATTTAACAAGTATAAAACTATAAAATGATCATCACCATATATATAACAGATCTGAACAATTCTATAATTGTTTATTGCTTATAATGATATAGTATACATATTATATATGTTTTGTTTGTTTTATAGTAGGTATGTATTTATGTATGTATGTATGTATGTATGTATGTATGTATGTTTGTTTGTTTGTTTGTTTGTTTGTTTGTTTGTTTGTTTGTTTGTATGTATGTATGTATGCATGTATGTATGTATGTTTGTATGTATGTATATATATTGGTTGGTTTGTTTCTGTTTTATCTGTATCAAAGGATTTGTGGAGCGCCCCTATTGAATAACTTCTGGAACTCTAGCTTCACTCGAGAATGTCAAAACAAATGATGTTTCAAACGTTTCTTAAAAAAATGTTGGCTCATGTTGTTGAATTTTTTAAAATCAACAGCTGGTGAGTTCCAGATTTCTGTGGATGAAAAGGAAAATCTTTGCTTTCCAAAACAAAACAAATAGAATTTAGAAAGCATAAGATCGACATTATCGGAGGATTTCAGTGGATTCCGATTTGCAATTTTTGAAACTAATTGTAGTTGTTTTTTTAAATAAGTTGGTGCGTCACCAGCAAGACAATCTCTGACTAGAAGAGTTAGTATGAAAGCTATATTCTATCTGGAATGCTGAGCCAGTGTTGATCATCCCTGATGTATGATGATAGTGAACCGAATTTCAAACAACCACAACAAGTCTCATGGCCTTCAGTACAGACTACAAACCATCACGAAGGGATGAGTTGACACCAAACATAATTTCATTGCAGTAGTCAATTCTTCTACAGATAAAACTACAAACGAGTGCTCTTGTTGACCCAACTGTCAAAAAACGTCTGATTGATCTTGATTGATTCTGTGGAGTTGGTAAAAACATCGCTAGCAAAGTTGACTAATAAGTTTTTTAAATGAAAGATGAAAATCCAGTATGACTCCAAGATTCGCTACTGGATTTTGTAGTCATTCTGTAGACAAAACCTGTACCTCCCCTTTTAAGAGCCATCATAAACTTACAACATTTCAAGTCAAAATTCCGTGCTTTTTTATTGACACTGGATCTCGACTCCACCACCTAATTACTATATTATGAATACGTGAGAACAAATGAAGCGGATGAATGGTCTTTATGTTTATATATGTTCTAAACGAACATTTATATATTTATATGCTTATATATGCATAACACAAATATTTATTTATTCATCTTCAATTATCCTTTTGCGTCAGTCATTTTCCTTACAAATAGAGACATATGAATAGTTAATATGAATTTCATTAACTATTCTTCATACATCTACATGCAGTCTTATTCGGTCTCCGCATATTCAACTTCATAACTTTTATTCACTTACTTGATATGTTGTTGATTATGAATAAACTTTGAAAATGAAATGAAATTATATGACTGAGGCAAATGCGGTATCTCCAACCACAAATACTGAGTTTCCTTCACGCTGAGTTTAAGCATTTTAGATGACATCCAGCGACCAACCAAGTCCACTGCAATCGAGAGGAAACTTGAGGTGATGAGTCAGGTATTACAAATCTGTAATGTTGAATATCATCGGCGCATAGGTGGCAGCTAAGACCAGACAGAAGACCAAGCACTTTGCCCTGTGTTACACCGCTGATCAATTCTGTAAAAGCCGTGCTCAGACCACTCTCATCAACTTTGGCAACCTGAGACCTGCAGGTTAGGTAGGACTGGAACAGTCTGAAAACATCTCCGCCAATGCCAAATGGAGTAGAAAGACGCTTCAATAAAATCTGGTGGTCAATTGTGTCGAAAGCAGCAATCACATCGAGAAGTGCCAGCAATGATATGTTACCAGCATCAATAGCGTCAGAAACATCTGTGCTAAAATTATCAAAAATGAACTGGGCTTCTTTCTTTTTGATTTAATATTCAATGTTTGGCGAAATATCAAATTATTGAATTGATCTATGTTAACCTCAATATTTAAAAGTTCATCGGATCCTATATTTTCGATTTTAAACTTTTTTATACAATTATTACAGCAAATTACAGCAAATTTATTAAAAATTAATTCACAAATAATATTCTTTTTATAAAAATTTGAATTTAAAAAGTGTTAACATGTTTTAATTGAAAAGAATGTCATTGTTGATGCTCATATGTATTCATTTGTAACCTATCTTTTTACCAAAATGATGATGATGTAAGTTGTGAATGTCTGGTAGTATGTGTGTGTGTGTGCAAAATTTGTTTTGAACAAATATATATAAGTTTTTCAAACAAGATTGTTCAAACATAAGAGATTTCATATTTTAAACAAATGCTCAACGCGTTGAGTAAATTAATAAATAAAATACCAGAACCAATGTAATTTGAAAATGCTTGAATAAAATAACGTTTTGCTAGTGCTAGATAAATTGAGATAACTTCAAGAAAACTGTTCGCCGAATTGACAAAGCGCCTCGTCAGTTTTGACCAGGGAAACTTTATATGGTTTCGAGAATCTGCCTATGAAGAGGATGGTTTCAGTTTTGTCGTCACGGATGAAGAAAAGGAATGGATGATTGGCGACTAAACTCAACTTACTCACTTGGGTCATCTTAGAAAGCAACATTATACCATAGGTGACTGGCGCCGTCTCGATTCTTTTCTCATTCTTCATGGAGATGTGCGTCTTCTGAAAAATATCTCTAACGTACAGATCTCTTACTGTTGACATTCTTGACAGCCCATTTTTGTTAGCATCAAAAATACTCTTTATATTCAAATTCATCAGAACTTGTTTGATGTTAATGCTGGAATCAAACCCTAAAACTGGCAGATGAAGTTCAACCGATCTTCTGGTCCAACTGTTTTTCCAGCTCAGTAGATGATCTTTGGTTAATTTTTGTTCAATCGAGTCTAAAGAAGACTTGCAGAAGTTAATGGGGAGGATAATGATAAAATGATACTTATTCTCGTACGGAATCTTCAAGATGTGACTTTCTAAATAGGTGCTTACTTGATAATCACCTATAAATTTACCGCCCATAAATTCAGTTTCAACTGAGAGGGCTTTGTTGATGTAAAACATACTCTTTTCAGTCAATTTTGCGTCCACCAACAATGTTGCAATGAAGGAAACTGCATTAACGAGAATTATTTTGGTGTGAGAGTCCAAAGTGTTCGGTGGGATGGAGTATATTATTTTGTTGTTTGTTAGTCTTTCCACTTCTTCATTAATAGTTCTTCTGCAAGTCTCCGCGTAGGATCTAAGAAAGTGAGAATGAATTCAGGTTGCGATCAAAAGTTACGAACAATGCATGAAGCAGTATCAACATTATTCAACAGGGGTTTTATTAGAAAATTTGCTTTTAAACTTCGAAAAGAAAAGTATAGATGAAAGATTTTACGTAAAGACAAGTAAAGAAGCAAACATTTTTTTAATTTAAATTTATTCCATTTCAAACAATATTTTCAAAATATGTCCCTATCAAAAACTTAGAAATAATTATTATTCATTTGCACGCGTACATTGCGGTAAGGTCAGGTTCAGGTTCCATTGAAGGGGTAAATGGGGGGCTACTCTCTCGGAGTCTCCACAAAATAGGGCCTCACCAAAAAATGTCACGATTAGTCTACACAAAAATGTTTCGTGTTCACACGGACCTTAAAGGTTAAAAAAGGTTAAAGGTCAATTGCACTCTTCCAGCACGTCACAAACATCGTATATAAATACATGCTAAACGACGCATCACACACGAAGCATGTGATGGGCGGGCATGAATCTTCTTATCATATTTGAACTCGGTTACTGCGAAACAGCAGCAGGCGACCTTCCACTAGAGGCCACCAGGCTGACATTACTTTAATTTAAAACGCTCATCTCAACGGGGAAACATCGTAAAAATGTGGAATAACCAATTCTTAATAAAATTGTAAAAATCGTGTAAAAATAATTAAAATAATCTGGCGTTCCTCGTTCTTTCAATGCTCTAGGGCCCCACATCTTCTACTCTGTGTACGATAGATTTTACTCAAATTTTGAAGAAGTGTAATTTAACTAACAGGAAGTTGCAAGTGTGGAGTTGTTGGCGGTAGTTGTACAAGCCTAGTTTATCAATAAAAGACTTCGAAAGATGGTCGTCAGTATTAACATACAGCAAGTTCGCCATAACCAGACTGACGTTTTCAGCTTTCGTTACGTAATAATTCATCAGCTTTTTGAAGTGTTCGTGAATCTCTGTCTCACTCAATCTGCCGAACCTCAGACCGGCTTCTAACTCGTTCTTGGTGTCGCCTGTTAAAAAAAGTTATATTTTTCTTCTTTTTGCGGCGTTTCTATCAATTTTTGAGGTATTGTTATATGACTAATCATTACAAAATAAATCTAAAAAATTGGCACTATTTGTAAAAAATGTATTTTTTTTTACATATTTTCAAACAAATTGCTTCAGAAAAAACAACAAAAAAAAAAAAACAATTCTGAGTGTTTATATTTCAGAGAAGTTCGACTTTTTCATGAATTTTTTTTCATTTCAATTTAATTGAACGGCGTTACTAAAGATTTTCTAAGTTTACAAAAATAATTCAGCATATACAATGAAATAAAAGTCACGAAACGACATTATTCGAAGTGTAACCAAAAAACACCTACCATCAGCTGCAAGATGAAGCACTGCCAAAAAAAAAAGTCCTATAGGCGAGAACAGGATGTTGTTGTCAGGTATGTCCCTTGCTACATTTCTGTACACGTCAAAGCTGAACTCCAACACTGATTCTCTTATAATCATTCCGTCTAAATTGAAAAATCTTTTAGTTTAGTTTACAGAATGCTGATATGAAACTAAAATTGTTGAAGTGAAAAGGTAATAATACCCCTGTGATGTCAAACAATTTTTTTCATAAAAGTTGAATGAATAATTGAAAACTTTTACTGGCTCACGTTTTAATGCGAGTGTTTAAATATTATGTCACTGTATGCTTCGTTAGTAATTGCAGTATATTCTAATGGGACCAGATCTGCCAACGGTCTTTTAACATTATTATAAAATATTTTTTACTATTCTTTCCAAATTGTGACTAAAAAAAATCGTCACAAATATCTATTATTCTCAGTTATCTCGGATTAATAACTTTCTTTGTAAACTTCCTGAATTAATTTCTCAATAACCACGTTTCAATATCTTCAGTGTAAACTTTTGAAAAACTTAAAATATCCTGTTTTTAAGAACCATTTTCTCTATTAACTCTGCTTCAAAAAATGATTTCTATTTTTCTAATTTCTAATTTCTCGACCACGAATGTAAAGAACACTTTTGTCTCTTTTGGCCCTCCAAAAACTCCTTCATAAGTGTAGAAACCAGCATAACTTAATGTTGTAGGTTTATAATGTTAAGGAATATTCATTAGACTTTGGATCGTTCACTGGTAGATTGAATGAGAATTCTGAGTAAGAACACTGCTTGTACATGAGCTCGAACATATGTAATACAACTTTAACAACTCCATCGAGTTTCTAAGAACATTTTCTGAGATTTTCAAAAAATAAAAAAACGAATCATGTCACTTTGACAAGTTCATTGAACCTTTCAATGCTAGGTTTTCTTAAAACTCCTTTCTTAAATATAGCAAATACAATGACAATAAATTTCATTGAGTTTATCTGACAGCAACTTCAAGTAGGAACATTACTGATGTGACATCAAATAAATAAATAAATTAAATTAAATTATTAAGAAATAAATTAAATTGAATGAAATAAGTGTTTCATAAATGAAAGAGTGGCGAAACGATGAAGAAAACGACCCGATGCCACTTCTAGTGAGTTCGACTGCATACAGAATCCTTTCGAATCGTGTATTAAATTGTTTAATAATACGCCATCAAACTCATCCAACACGTAGACAAACATGTAGGGTAAGTGCGAGCGATCTATACTATTCACCAGTGGTTCAAAACATGTTGGCAAAAATGATGACACTGGTGATAATTTTAATAATGAGGTAATGATAATGATGACGTAGTAGAGGATCGGGATAATGATCATGGTGATTTTTCCAGCGATTTTGGTGAAGATGATGATGATATGATGATGAAGATGATGATGATAACGATGATGATGATGATGACGACGATGTGAGGATGATGATGATGATGATAACGATGCTGATGATTATAACAATGATGATGATGATGATGATAACGATGATGATGATAACGATGATGATAACGATGATGATAATAACGATGATGATGATGATGATAATTATAAAAAGTCTGATTATGGTTATGACAATTCTGGAAAAGATGATGATCACGAATGATGATTAATTGAAGCAATCCTGCTAGCACGAATCGAAAGAAGGAAAGAAAAAATTTTTTTTACTTCATATTTTTCTCTGGAAGTTTCGTCATAATTTCGCCCTTTCATTATTATCTTATTTAATCTTCCGATTAGGTTTCCACACATCCCCCCCCCACACACACACACAACACACGCACATATACACGTACATACAAGCACGTATTCACACACACACATGTACATTCAGGCGCACACACAGGCGCACACACGCATACACACAAATTAAACTAGAAAGATGAAATGAGTGAAAGATTCTTCAGATGAATATGCTGATCATAATTCGTATTATGTAAGGTAAACGGGCTGATAACTTAATGTGTTAGGACTGATATTTGGAAGAAGTAAGAGAGAGAGAAAGAATGAGAGAGAGAGAAAGAGAGAAAGAAAAAGAAAGAAACAGAGAGAAAGAGAGAGAGAGAGGTAGAAATTGAAAGAAAAAACAAAAAGAAAAGAAAGCGAGAAAGAGAGAAAGCAAAGTGAATAGTAATTCAAAACACTTATCAAGAAGAGATCAGACGAAAATTTGGTTTATTTCTTTGCCTATCCCCATTCCGACTTATCTAGAAATATTTCAATTATTACATTCACTTCCATATAAACAGCACACATTATTTCGACATATCAACATCAAATAACTTAGTTAGCAATCGCACTACTACTACTATTGCTGCTGCTACTACTACTACTGCTGCTACAATTACTACTACTGCTGCTACTACTACTACTACTACTACTGTTACTGCTGCAACAACAACAACTACTACTACTACTACTACTACTATTACTACTGCTATTACTACTGCTATTACTACTACTACTACTACTACTACTACTACTACTACTACTACTGTTACTGCTGCAACAACAACAACAACAACTACTACTACTACTATTACTACTGCTATTACTACTACACAACTACTACTTCTACTACTACTGCTACTACTACCTACTACTACTACTAGTACTAATACAACTAATTTTACTATGATAGCTTTGATAGATGAGGATGGTATTGAAAATGGATGGAGGCGATAATGATGATGACTAAAACAAAGATGAAGACGACGACGACGACGATGCTGAATATTGGTGGAATGAAATAGGGAAAAATTTACGAAGCGTTTACGAGAAAATTTTTCCTTTGTTATCCAAGAAAGTCATTTCCACAGAATACAAACAAACGATTAAGAAATGGAAAAATATTATGAATAATATTATTAAGAAGAATAATAGGTAACACGTTTTTTTTTATTACAATTAATTCTTTTGCTGCTACAGACGTTACGTCTGCTGCTGCTTCTACTACTATTATTACTATTCTTGTTACTACTCTCAACATTCTAACTCTACTGCTAATACTACTTCTACTACTGCTACTACTATTTCTTCTTCTTTTTATTCTTCTTCTTCTACTACTACTACTACTACTACTACTACTATTACTACTACTGCTGCTGCTGCTACTTTTAAATTTTTTCCAATTTATTTTGTCGTTACAATTATACATTTAAAAATGATGATGCAAACATCTCATAAAGATAATAACCTGGCCGCCTTAGTTATAACCTTCACCATCATCATCGTCATCATCACCACCATCATCATCATCATCACCGTCATCATCATCACCACCATCATCCCCATCATCATCACCATCACCATCATATC